TACATACATCTACAAGACGCAACAATAGCACTGTCAACCTGGACAGATACTTCTTATTTGGTACAGAGTGATTATTCTTCTTAAGCAGCTTGAACATAATGCTATCCAAACTAATTGTAGTACTGTAGTGCTATCATCCTGACCTGAAAGTAAATAGTTTATATACTGATTTTCCAGCTTCCCTGTCATTTTACTTTGAGACAGAATTATATGATTTTTCTAGCATGAATATTCAGATGCACTAGTCCAATTTTTTCAACTGTACCTAATCAATATGGACAGTGCCATTCTATGGTTAGTATTTATTTATATCTGTCTCTCAAGGTGTTACATCAAGCCAACTTAAGGCTCTTCTGATATTCTTTGATAACGTGTTAAATAGATTTAACATAGATATAAATCTAGTTTAAGAGAGATTTAAATAGTTACATCTCACTGGGTATACAGCCTTTCTTTTCATTCAATAAATTTCTAAAGGCAAGCATCAGACACAAATCTCTTTCCATTCTATATTCCTCACCTTTTTTAAAAAAAATTTTTTTACCTCTATCTATCCCCAAAGAAACTAAACATGAGTCTGAGAAGTCAGCACAATGGAAATCCTGCTCTAGAGACTTCCACTGTAAAGATTTAAATGCATTTTTCAAAAACAAGAACTCTGAACAGGGAAAAAAACCCCTCTAATTTGCATCAATGATTTATGACTGTAATTGGGACCAGAATTTCCGTCACTAACCGATGTGGTCATAAAGCGTGATGTTATGTGACTGTATTCTTAGCAACAGCAATCTTGGCAGTCCCCATTGCTGTAGTTAAGCAAGAATCACGGGTCGCTACGCGAGGACCTCTTCTTAACTTCCTGCCAGCTTCCCACAACCAAAGTCAGTGGGGGAAGCCAGCAGGAATTTGTAAGTCCCAGGCAGTTTGCAAGCAGGCCTGCAGGCAGGCAAGTGGCTGCTGCTGGATGAGGAAGAGTGTGCAGGCGGCCACAGTGGTGCCGTGTGAGTGATTTTGGGCAGAGGGCAGCTGTTACTGTGTGAGAGAGGGTATGTGCGCAGCCACAGTGGTGCACGTGAGTGATTTTGGGCCCAGGGGTACTACTGCCAGGTGAGGGAGGATGCATGGGAGGTTGCAGCAGCATGTGTGATTTTGGGCCTGGCGGGTGGCTGCTGCCAAGTAAGGGAGGGTCCATGGGTGGCCATAGCGGCACGTGCGAGCTATTTTGTGCTGCCGGGTGGGGGAGAGCGTGCAGGTGTCCAGCAAGGTGCGTTGTGAGCACAGTGAGGCTGGGGGTGGCTGCGGCTGGGCAGGGGAGACTTATCAGAGTGACTTGTGATCTTCCCTGCTACTTTCCCATTGACTTTGCTTGTGGGAAGCCAGCAGGTAAGGTCACAAATGGCAATCACATGACTGTGGGTGCTGCAAACATCCTAAGTGTGAGTTGGTTGCCAAACACCCAGATCATGATCACATGACTGTGGGGGTGGTGCGACAGCTGGAACTTCAAGATCCAGTCGTAAGTACCACTTGTTCAGTGCCACTTCAAAGAGTCACTGAACAAGTGGTCGCTAAGCAAGGACTACCTGTATTTGTTTAGTCCTTCACTCGAATCCATTCTTGCCTCCAAAAGCAGTTTGACCACTGATATACACAAGATGTTGAAAAGATGGTCCTTAAACATTTAAAATCTTATGTGTCAATTTTTTTAAGGCTAATGGCATATACCTGCCTACCCTAATTCCTTACGTTCTAAAGAAGTCAAGAATTCTTGCTGCACTACTTGGGCATGTTCATTGACCAAATTAATCTCCACCCACAGGAACATGCTGGTTGAAAAACTACTCCCAAACTGCTCCATCTTATTGCCGCCTATTCCACTGAGTTGCCATTTATGCTTAAACTTTGAAGGTCTCTTCTGAAATACTATAATCTTAGTCTTCTGATAATTTATAGTGAGACCTTCTTCTCACAATGGAAGGCCAAGAAGAATAAACATGGCTAAAGCATTTTAGCTTACTCAAATCAATACTTTGAATTAGATGTTTTTTAATTTGTACAATATACTTGCAGTGCTGTTTCTTGCTTTGATGAATTACTTAAGCAAGCACTTCAAAATTACTCTGTTTCCCAGGGCTGGATTTTTTACTGTTTTGTAGAACTTAACATTTCCTGAAGCACTTTGAAGATTATAATTTATGACAAATAAGTTATTGTAGCTGCTTTCATTCTTATTTATTTGAAGTATCTAACAAAACAAGCTGTACCTCTGAAAATTGAGTGAGGAAATCTTCTTGAACAATACGGAATGGGAGAGGAGAAAATAATAATTTCCTACACTTGCTAGAATAATACTGTCAATTTCTATAACTCTTTTTAAAATAATTCTATCATTTGGTAGCTGAGAGAAGGTAATTTTAATATAAGCAAAATAGCCAGAAATTATGCCCTTGATTGGAAGAATAGGGTATTTAAAGAATCTAGAGAATTTCTAGATTTTACTGGGACTAAAGTTGACAATTTAAAGGAATCTGGAGGTGTTATCATGGTTGTTTTGGACAGAGGAGACAAGATGATGCAAGCACTATGGATTTTTTTGCTACTGTAGCATCTGCAATGTGAGATAATTTCTTCCTGTTGTTCATCAAAGACCTGCGCACAGTATCTCTTAGTAAGCAACTACTTCTGCTACTGATAGGTTTATCAAGCTGCCTTTTGTGAGCAGGAGCATTAGGTATCATCTAGGTGGTTATAACGGTAGGTGGGAATGACCTTGGGAGACGGGGGGAAGAGATGCTGCCTAGGGAACGATCAGATGGGTGGGGGGGAGAATAGCCTGCAGCTGCATAAGGGGCAGAGAAAGTAACTCAGAAAGGAACCTCCCTAACTTACCAGACTGTAGAAGAGATGGTTGTACTTTCAGACTTGCAAGATTCTGTTAACGTAGCCTTACAATAAAGTAGAATTAGCTCATCTGACTGTGTTTCCTGTTTGGTCTACCTGGGAAGGCTGACAGTGGTGGAAAAAATGTACAGTCATACCCACACTGTCATAATAATGTCAGGAGGAGATTTTTGTGCATGTTGTTTTTTAAAAATCTATAGTCTTAAGAATGCTGTAACCCCGTGTAGAATTGTGGCATTTCTTAAAATGTAAATGATCTGGTTACTGTAATACATCAAGGAAACCACTGTGCTTCCAGACCAAATCTGTGTGATGCATATAAATTCTGAAAATGTTTCCAAGGTTTACATGTATTTTAAACAGGGATAGGGTGTGAGAGATTTTTGTATTTGGTCTCTTTTCAATCCTGCCCTTCCCTATCTCTTTCTATTCCTATGTTTATTTTTTCAATATTCAGAAATCTGTTCCAAAACTCTATAGTTCTGTCTATCCACCCATCTTTCTTTAACTTTAATTGACCTCTTGCAATAATATATAAATATTAATACAAGAAATACCATATTTCTATGCTGTTTTATCAATTATTATTTTTTTTTTTGGTAAAGAATCCAAGCCTGGTAGATAGGGGTGGGGAAGAATTGCAGTTTACTTGAAACACACCAGTATTTTATTATTTTGCCTGCCTGTAATATATCAGGCTGAAGAACATTGTTCCATTATGTATGTTCAGAGTAAAGATAAAAGGCTAATATAATAATCCATGGAAAAACCAGATGCTTCTTTTTATACTTAGACTCATAACTCATTGCCCAAGTAACCTTAGGAGTGATGTTTTGGGATATTCGATTACTTTGAAATGTTTTGCAAAAAATAAGGATTATATCAGTACTTTTAAAGCTGTTGACACAAAGTATGAATAAAATACTCTTGAAAGTAGAAGTTGAATATTAAAAAATGTAAAGACATTAAATATGATTCTCAAATGAGGAAGAAAGATACTTCTACAAAAAAGAAGCTTCCTTATGTGAATTTCTTAGAGCAGAAAATATAATGCATGACCTGGATATGCATCTTAATGCACAGAATCCAATACCAAGGTACAATTTCTTAGAGCATTCTTAATACAGTTCATACCTGAATGTGTATCCCTACTTCCTATCTTTGTAAATAGTCATGTGTAGCTCAGCTGGGCATGACCAGAGTTCAAAGTTCAGTTTTCAGTGAATATCTGGAATACCTGAAGTACTTACCTTGCTCTATGAGCTTGGTTTCCAATTTAAATAATTTTTATCAGGCAGCATTCCATTGCTGGCTTCCCCTTGCCCTGCATGTTTCAAACTTGCTTTGGAGGACAAGTTAGGAGACATGGGCATGAGGGAATTGATTCTGCTCATGGGCAGAAGTCTTTGGGTATAGCCTGTTGTATGTTTGTTGCAGAGCTGGGATACAAAATCAGTTATCTCTGGTTATTTGACATAAATCTCATTGTTTCTTATGCTAATATTTTAACCATTTACCATCGAACTCAATCTTCATTTTAAAGGCTGTATCAATATCACATTTTATTGATTTGATGCCACTGATACAGTATTTGTACAAATAAGACAATTTATCAGAGGAAACATCAGGATATTTAATTGAGCAGGTCTTTGGATTTTAGAGAATTTTAGAGACTGAATTCCAGTATGGATAAGCCTTCTAACCATGACAGAATTTCTCCAGATTTTCTTTTATCAAATATGTGGCAATGAAATCCTAACATTTTTAGAACTTTTAAACAAACAGAATTTCATTCTCATTTGGATTAACAGTTTAGGGAGGTCCCAAATATTATTTTTGTTGGAGAGAATTTTCATTTGTGATTGCTGTTCCTAATGAGGGGCTGCATAAATTGCACAGCTTTACATATATAAATGTAGCCCATTTACATTAATAAATCAAAAATAAAAAATGATTCACAGTCCTAAAGCAATTTACTGGAAGCAAGACTTCTCTGTAGGCATGAATAGGATTGCATTGTCAGGAAGATATATATGTATATGTATGTTGTATATGATACACACTCAGAATATTTACATGTGTTTATAAATTTCACTTACCAGAATGAAGAGGCAACTAGCGGCAAGCCATGTATGCTCAGGAATAGTAGAAAATACTGACAAAATCAAGCAACCAAACACAAGGAGAAAACTGTAAAACAAAAGAGTACAAAAACAGTAAGGACAGTGAAAACAAAAGGAGAACTATAAATATATGAAGCATTCTGTTATCTGAATAATAATAATAATAATAATAATAATAATGTGCCTAACTTTCAACAAATGAATAGTACCACAATAGAGTAGCCTATCAATACCATCCAAAGATATAAAACAATGTTCCCATTCATTTAAAGAGATTACATCGTGGAAAAGGACAGTGCGAGCAACTCTGCATTACATATGTGCACAACTACTTATAAGGTAGGTTTATGTAGATGTTTTGTTTTCATGGCGGAAGATTTATACAATCTGAAGAGAAACCACAGTACCACTAAAAGCTCTGAAACAAATTATTGAAATAAAGCCATTCAGTATTATCAAAGAAGCTTCCACTCACATAACTGAGCTTTTTCATGCCCCCTCCATCCTATTGCCTCCCAAATCTCCTCCATTTGCCCATTCCACCAGCATCTCTCTGCCAATGGGATAGAAACATTGGCAGAACAAATTGTCCCTCACTGCTTCCCTAATCTGCTCCATACCTCCGCCTTCCACAGCAGATACATGACTGAAACATCAATCCACATGACTTATTTAAAATATGTGTATCCTGCAGATTCCTTGCAGAGCTCTAGGCACTTTATAACAAGTAAGACAGAAATATATAACACAAAATAGGAGCAACAACAGCAGCAAAACTAGATAGAGAAATAAACACGCAACAAAAATTAAAATATCACAAGTAACAATGACAAAAAAGCAAAAAAGTTTATGCACCCATGGTGTTCCTTAAAAAGAAGATTATTAGTGAGGAAGTAAGATGGGCCTTCCTCGTACAGGAGTGCCACAGGGCCTAGATGCAGCTGTCTTCTCAATATTGAGAAGACAGGGCCCTCTCAGCCGAGTTTCCAAGTGAGGGCAAGAGGGTCTGGAACCTCTTCTAAAGAAACCTGCTACGTGTTGCCCTCTGCTGTGATTTCTCTATATGGCAAGCTGACTGCCAAGGACAAATTTGTGGAGGGGGACCTTATAAACCTGACTGATTTCATACACAGAGATTTAACATGCATAAATAGAAACTTAACATGTACAGATTTATGTAATCAAATCAGGTGAATATGTGGAATACAGTAACCCATTTCCTCCTGTTCACATCTGCATGAATGCATGCATGTCCTAGCTGTTCCTTACTTCTTTTCCACTGTGTTGACAATCACATCCAGTAAAACATTAGTAACTGAATTAAAAACTAACTACCAGTAATAACATACTGCACACATTTTTGGTACATGGATTTAAAAAGCAAATACTGCTTGCAATATGCATATGTTTGTATTGCTACCAATACAGCTAAAGCTTAATTCTGCAACTCCAGAGAGAAAAAGACAAAGAATCTATGAGGACAAATCCAACCACAGAAACCAATTTTTGTCATAATGATTCCTATCAGGCAATTTCAGCATATGCTTAATTTTTCCATTATTAGCTCTGTTTTGCAAGAAACTAACCCTCTTGGGATTGCTGGTTTCCTCTGCAGGACAGCTTAAATGCCAAAAGCAAAGAGAGCAATGGAGAAGTAAACATACTCTAAGTCATTCAATTCACAGCTAGCTCAGATCTCTCTTTTTTTCTCTCTCTCCAAACCCAACCCTATATAAGCCAAGTTACTTCCTTAAACTGTAATAAGAAATATAAGAGCATTTTCCACCCTAATTCAGTCATTGTAGCCAAGAGAGTTACAGTTTATTGAATTAATGCAACTGCCTAGGTTCACACAATATACAGGACCATAAATTGGATTCACATACACACAAGCCACTAATTAGTCAACTATACTTTAGTCTACATGTTATATAAATATAGGCAAATAGGAATTAGTAAATAAATTATGGATTGGGATTGTTTTAGATTTTAGGCAATAAACCACTGTTTGAAACTGCAGAAGCATGTTTACATGGCAAATTATACTATGTTTTACTTTAATATGACATCAACCCATTCTTTCTTCTAAAACCCTTTCCACAATGATATCTACTTAAAGAAACCTGCAAAATTCTTCTACAGCAGAAAAGACGGCATAGTTGCTGAAGAGGAAATGTCTTCTCCAACCCATGTGGGCCACCAGCCAGGCTCTTCTGTGCCTTCTTTGAAATTAAGATATGAAATACCAACCAACCTGCTGTAGGTGAAGAGTTTTTTTGTACTCTTTCTTACTGATGGAGACATGTTCAAACTTCTAAGAGTTTTCCTCCAAACATAATCTGAAAATCACGGGGGTAGTTAATTCCTTTGGCTAACAAGAAGTGCTTAGCTTAACACAGTGAACCTAGTCTTTGGGGCTTGTAAATCATGATTTATGGAATAGTATTATGCATGAATAAAACCAGTTGTAGCTTATTCAACAAACCAAAACTAAAATGCAACAACAAAAACAAACAACAAACTCTAATGCAACAGAATTTCTCTGATGTGACAAACAGCTATTGTTTTCTTGCTGATCGTTAGCAGACTATTTGATTACTAAGAAAGGCAGTCATGAAAAGTGTTAGGGAAAAAATTCCTGAGTTCTCTCAACACTCTTCTCCCGTCTCAGTCACCTAAGTGGTGAGGTTCAGGTCCATCCCTCTCCTTAATCAGGACACAATTTGTGAAGTCTCCAATACCTTTATTAAGAGCTGAGGAGTCTGGTCAAACACGCAAAGAACACTTTTGACAATGTTTCCTTGGGTAAGAACCTGAACATAAACACAAGCAGTTAAAACCCAGAGAGATACAGCTGTTACATTTGCATTGGCTACTACATCAATTATTCCATATTTGGTAATCTTCTAACTAATCTGGAAGTTCCCCCCTTACAGTTTATCATGCACATGTGTAACAAAGGATCCATAATGCCATGGCAACATGCAATGGTTAACAATGGAAATGTCCAGGTATGGTATCTACAGCTTTCACTTTGGTAAAACCAATGGTTTTAAGACTGAGACCTTTTCCTGGAAGAGGGGAACTTGTGTTAACAAGTCCCTTATGCTAGTATATATGGCATTTAAGATCTTTTGTTCCTTTGTGGTTCTCTAGTTTCATATTTTATAACAGTTACTTTAATCACATCTTGCTCATGATAACTACCAGGGTCAAGCACAGTAACATCATGGCAGCTGCCTTACTTCTTTATTCCATACATACCTTACACAAGGAAACTTAAGTTCCATTCTGACTCCTTCCTTTTAAAATGGGATATTTTCAAACTTAGTGTTCACTGACATGGTGGAAAAGAACAGTTTTAGTAATGCAAGCCAGGAGGATTACATTTTCCATCACTTCTCGTTTCAGTGTGACTTGTTTATGTAAGTAAAATGAGAACTGACAAAAGCTATTATAATTTTAAAAAAATGTTTGGATAAAAACTCTATGGAGCATAAGCGTCCCTCCATTGAAAGCAGTTTGTAAATTTATAACCATAAATATGAATATGAAATAAAGTACACTTTAGACTTTATAACACTATGATTTCAGCAGCTGAGAGCTCATGAAACTGCCCTCATAAAGAAGGTTTAGTAAGATAGCTCTCTCTAAACATCTAAGAACAGATTACGGTTAAGCTTTTTTTCAGTCTGAAAATAAGATTGTGGCAATTGTATCTTCTGTCTTATTAGTTACATGTTAAGAAGTGAAGAATAAACTCCCAGTAGCAACTTGTTCCCAAATTAGAAATTCAAATGGCTTCAACTCTGTTATGGATATGATGCAGTTTGTCGGTGTTGGCCTCTCTTACTTTTGTGAAGTCAAGGGAGCACAGGACTAGTAGTCCTGAGAAGAACTCTTTCACCACCAAATCTTTTAATGATAAATCCGTTTACAGTTTTTAAAACATGAGGTTTTGTTTTCCAGGGGAAAAGGTACAAAACTCCACCGGTTCTGTTCTTCAGCATGACCCTTCTGAATTCAATCATCAGGGGAACATACCGTACAGAACCTGGAACATGAAAAAGAATTATTTGCATGAGAGGAAAATCACTTAAATTAAATTATTTCCAAATTTGGAGGTGGATTGCCTGTTGTGTTAGTCTAATTAGTAACCTAGACAAGTGCTCATAATCATCCACAAAGATGCAAACTTAGTTTGTTTTACCCATAGAATAGGCCACAGTGTTTGGGCTCATCCAAGACACTAAGCTGGGGTGGATAACCTATGATCCCAGGCCCTGCAAAGCCTCCTACTTTCTTTTCTTTTCTTTAACCTGGAATCCCCTCAATCTGCTTTGCCAAATTTCAGTTTCCTATTATTTTGAGGTAGGGAACACATGGCAATTGTCTTGACCCAGATGTGAAGTTCCACCCACTCAGTGGTGCTGATAAGTGTATAACAACTGGCTCAGCCAGTTCCATTGCCACCATGCCACAAGCCTCAACCGGCTCACAACATTCCAGAAAACTTAATATTTGGCCCTCGCAAGCTGACTCACTGGTGAGTCAGCTCCAGCATACCACTGCCATCACTCCTCTGCAGAAACAAGGCAAAAAATCTTGGTCCTGCATACCAGCTTAATGGGAATAACCTCATACATTTTGTACCACTTGGCCCACTGCAACTTTTGCTGTCCAAAACTATTCAGCCTTCAGCCACCAGAAGGCTGCCTATTGCTATGTTAAGCCATAAACCATGTCTTATGGTATATAATAATGCTGCTTTCTTCTACTGGTTAACCAGGTGAGGACATTCAAGCTCATTTTTCCAAAGGTTATGTAAACAACATCAATTTCATCAATTTCTTATAAAATAGGCTACTAGGTTAAGAGGCTCAGTTGATTCCTTCTAAACTTCTAACTGCTATGCAACCAAGAACAAAATTAGGACCAGTCAAAATAGCAAGTGATTAACTTGAATAAAGATCCAAGAAACACTACAAAAATAAATCAAGCCCCATTTTTAATTTGACAAGAGATTGGGGGGGGG